TTAAAATATATTTAATTTGCATAATTTAGCCAAGTTAAAATTTGTTAAATTAAATTTTAAATATATGTTAATATACTATCATTAATATCACTAATATAACCAAATTTCTATTTGTTGTAATACATTAAAAATAAACTCTTATCTATTCTAATCTATAATACTCTAAGCTATTTTCTCGCTTCTTGTCTTATAAATCATTATTATGTATTATTAAAATCTTAATCTAACTAAACTATATTAAAATTACTCTATCTATTTAACTATCATAGTTATCTTTAACGTTGATATTTTTTCACTTGCAAGACAACTTATAAAAGGAACTACATTGCCACTTATCTATTCATAGTTTTTTAACTAAAATCTGCTATACGATAAAATTATCACTTATAGTTATCTAATTTCTCCTATTTATTTAATTACTCTTATTATGCCTTCTTTATTCGTGGCTTTTTGCTTTGCTAAAAACATTATAGTGAATGATAAATACCTCTCTAGAACTACATTACATCACATAAACAATTATACTGATAGCTTTAAAGAAATTACGTTCAAAGGCTTTACTACCAATTCTGAATCTTTAGTTTTACCCTTTGAAAAAAACTCCATTGTTTTAATGATTGGCCAATATGTTTGTCAAGATGCTGAATATGTAAGCTTTTTTTTACTAATCTTATTATCTATTTGTTACTCTTATTATATATTCATATTTCTTCTAGGTTACTCTATTCCTGTCTCTTGCTTAAAAGCTGACCATGTTCTAACTCCAAAGGCTCTTTCTAATTCTGCTCCTTTATTAATTTACTCTGCTCCTGTAATTCCTGATTCTTATATTCCTAATAATAAAAGAGGATAAGAAAGCTTCATAGTAGCATGACACTTATACAATTGTATTATCAATAATAAATATATCAACTCATTTCATATACAAATGAAAATAATTGTTACACTGCTATAAAAAATCATTTCAAAAAAACAGTCTTTTCTGTAGTAGATCGCTTAAAATTGGAACAAAAAAATTACCTTATATCCTTGCTTCTGAAATCAAATAGACTTATATCAATAATGAATCTCAACTATTAAGTACTTCATCTACCTTAAGATTTTTATCACAAAAGAAACTGACACCAATTTTGATAGCATTGAAGAAAAATATGCTTCTCTAACATCTTAGCTTCCTCCGAAAAGACTTTTATTTACCAAATCCAATGATAAATCTATGCTCAATTTTACTTAAATCACATTGCAGATTCAAAAATCTTCTTTCTCTACTATGACTTCTATTGAAAATCACACTACTGTTCCTGAATCTAACTCTTATGAAGTAGTTGATGATTCTTCTTATTTTTTGTCTCACGTAAATAATAATCTAGCCTCTCTATTACCAATCTTGATTCTAATTTATTTGCCAAATCTGATACTCTCCAGCAACCCCCTAATTCAAAAAAGAAGCACACAAGATCTATTTTTTTACTAAAAAATAATCTTATTATATAATTTTGGCAGATTTTATATTTGCCTGTTTTATCTACTATTTTATTTATACATTAAATCGCAATACAACCTAAATTCTGTACCTTCCCTTTTAAAGTTCATTTTTATTTTTTTCATTAATAAAATATTTTATTTTCTATCATATTTAAAAATTTAACCATTTATCTTATTAATACTTATTTACATAATCTTATTGTATTATGCAATTCATAGCTACTTAAATCTATAAATACTTTCGTGTACTAGTATTTTACAATGCATATCACTATCGATAATTTATTTCTTTATTTTATAATTGTTAGCTCTCTATAATTGCATATTGTTATATTAATTCTTTCTACTTTTTATAGCATATCTTTTATTTACTCTCTACTACCAAATACTCTATTAACCTCAACCTCAACCTTTACAATTACAAGCAACTTCATCACCTCATTTTACAACTAATATACCTCTCACAATAACTAACTCTAATAGTACTTTACAAACATCTCTTTCAAAACTATCATCTTGGTATTCTAACTGGATCCAATTCCACACAAACCCTTCACATATTTTTAATCTATCTCAAATCTAGGTGAGCCTTGGCCACTCTGGTAGGTTTAGACCGCAGATAAAAAACTAGGCTTGTCTATTTGACTTTTTTAGTTAGTCTGAGTTCTTATTCTTAGCACTAGACTTAAG